CCAGGCTGGCCTCGAACTCACAGAGATCCGCCTGCCTCTGCCTCCCGAGTGCTGGGATTAAAGGCGTGCGCCACCACCGCCCGGCTCAAGTCTGACTTTTGTACCCTGCTTGGTTCCAAGGCATTTCATCACCACGTCCAAACCCAGGGCCCCGTGGGAGACACCACACTGCTGTCCTCTAGAAGGTGAGAAAGCCGACACCTAAAACTCTGTCACAAACTGGGGACAGAGCTGAGTGGAGAACCTGACCATCAGCTGCCCTTCCCACAAACCACAGTCCTAAACACTGAGGATGATGACCATTTCCTAAACACTTGGGGCGGCCCCAGAGTCCAGGCTGTGCTTTATAATCATGTCATGGAACTTTAAGTCTTCACCATAACCTTCTGAGGTACCTATTTTACTACCCCCTTCTCCAAAAGCCAGGCGCAGAAAAGTTAAGCACCTTGTCCAAGACAAGCTGGGGAACCAGGACACAAACCCCAGCAGCCTGGACCCAAGCCTCATGCTTTTCACCAGCCTGTACGAAGGTTCTGGTAGCAGCAAGGTGTAAACATTGCCTGCCATGATGGTTGGAAATCCCTGGAATCCTTGAGTCCAAGCAAGTCCTTCCTTCCTAAGATGTTTCTTTTAAATACCTTGGCACAATGGCAAGAAAAGAAACTAACACAAGTGAGAAAAACGTGGTCTAACTCAGAGCTTGTTTTCAATCTTTTGAGAAAGAGTCCTTCCTATGTGAGAAACTTTAGCATTTACCAAGCTGTTTCATAAAACTTATTTATTTTTAATATAATATTATTTCCTTTCATATTCTACACATGATTACTGGTATAAAGGCTAATACTTCACATGTTTATCATATAGAGAGAAATTTTGCTAACCTTATAAGTTCTAATAAATTTAGTTTGTGAATAGAGAGATGTTGTTTAAAGACCAAATCCCTTCCTTCAGATGAACAGTTTTTTTTTTCTTATAACTTCCAGAATCAAAGATGCAAAAATATCTTGGGATAAGAGTGACTGGGAACAGCTCTAGGCCTGATCACGGTGGTGATGGTGCCTGTGATCTGTCTCTGCTTTTGTCCCAGTCACCTAGAGTCATCAGGGGCTGGACTCTAGCAGGGCCATAACCACTGTCCTCTGCACAGCTCTGCTGTGTGGACAATGGGAAGCCCCATTCTTGACATGTGGCACCTTTTTAACTTGCTGGCTAAGGCTACAAGAATCCAGCTGTGTTTTAAAACTATATTTATACAACAAGAAGAAAAAGGCAAGAACCACACACAGCACCGATTAGCAGGAATAGGAAACAATTGACATTTTACTCCAGTGCTTTTGTTATTCAAAGTTTATGACATCCAGATGTGGCTGCTTCACCCAGGCTAGGTCTCTGCCTGTGGAGAGAAGGGCCTCTTTAGTTGACCTTGGAAAATGTCTGGCCACACCCCCTTCTGTACAAACTCTTCCTGCCCTACTTTCCCATGGACCTTCACAACTCTCCGGCATGGCAGACCTCTGCTCCAGCCAGGTACCTAGGCCAGTCCCCTCTGTGGCCCCATTGCTGGGCCTTCACCTGTCACCTCCAGACCAAAGCACCTTTCTGCTTGCCTCCTAGGCCCAGGTCTCACTGCACAACTCAGACTAATACCTGTTCTCTCAACTGGAACTCCAGCACCAGCCGCCCACTGACATGGGATTTTTTTTTTTTTTTTTTTTTTTTGGCTTGAGATGGGGTCTACTCTGTAGCCCAGGCTGGTTTTGAAGTTATGACTTTCCTTTTGTATTAGCCTCCTGAGTGCTGGTTGATAGTGTGTGCTATACACCTGGCTCTTACTAATGTTTTTTCCAGATAGGGTTAATCTTGTGATCATCCTGCCTCAGTCTCCCCAGTGCTGGAATGGCATGCATGTGTCACAGCACCTGGTTTTGGCACTTGAGTTAACACTTTTCCGGAGTGTGTGATGTGTCAAGCTGTTCTTACGCTGGTGCACAGTGGGGGCATGAATCAACACAGCCTGTTCCCTGGTCCGTGCTGTAATTCCATCATACTGAGGACAGCACTCCAGCTAGCACCAGTGGAGAGGCAGCTGCTGCTTTAGAGCAGGAAGGTCTGCTCCTCTGTGTCCACTACTGGCTCTCCCTTGGGGGGCAGGTGTTTGTTCACGCTCCCTCAGTCCACTGTGCAGGCTGGTGTGCCAGGCTAACCTGCATGTCGGTTCCCAGAGCAGGCTTAGCTGACCACCCTCCCCATTTTGTTCCTGGGGGGGGGGGGAATAAAGTGGTACAGAAGCAAAACTGGACAGGGCTGGGGCAGTGGAGGAGGAGGTGGAATGGAGGGAAAGAATGCACTTGGTCTGCTGGGGAGTCTAATCTGCACACAGACGGTGCCAACAGAGGCAGGGTGGGCTCTGTAGTAATTTTACTATGATCACTCATCTATCCTCAGCACTGTAACTATCCTCACCTACTTCCTACTTCAGAGTCAGCCTGATGAGGAAGAGTGCAATTAATCATGCTCACACAGCATGGAGAAACTGTTTACACACACACACACACACACACACACACACACACACACACACACACACACACACAAAACCTCTAAAGGTTACATTCTGTGGACTGTCCACCTAGTTACTTTTGACATTGTTCTCTATTGCAGACGAGAGAAACCTGCTAAGGAAGCTTCCTGTGTTCTTTTCCACTCCGCACCAGCATGTATCCATGTCCTACAAGACATGAGGTAATGAGCTTTGCAGAGGAAGAGTAGAAGATGCCCCAGTGGGAACCTGTGCATTCACTGCTTATGAAGGGCTGAGCCAGTCCAGCTAAAAGCTAACCACAACTCACCATGTACAAGGCTCGAGGGCTATAAGTGCAAGATACAAATAAATTTAACTTAAGGCTATCACTGCTTCCAGACATTTTGGCAAGGTCTTCATGTAGAATTAATGGAGAAAGACATTTGTGGCACAAGAATCTGTGGACTGGAACCACAAGGGAATCTTTTTTACCCCAAAGCAAGTACAATTAAGTAAGAGTTTACAAATGGTCAAGCCCTGCTCAGGGGCTGTGGAGTGTTGAGAATCTCTGAATGCTTAGATTATTCACATTTCAAGACAGTGACAAAATGCTAAGTCAGAGCAAGAGAAAGTCTGCACCAGGTTCAGGGAGGGAACAAAAACATGCAGCCAGAGGTGAGAGGTAGACCCAGAGGGATTGGGAAGTCATCCTCTGCTACATAATAAGGTGAGGCCAGCCTGGGCTACATGAGATCCATAAACAAAGACAGGTGAGTACAGACTACATGTGAGGGAGATGTGAAGGACAGGAAGAACTTGCTTGAGGGTGGAGATGCAAAGTAAAAAACGTCTCACCTTGAATGTGGCAGTAACATCCCTCTGAATTCGCACTGAAATCCCTTCAGATCTTTATCTTTTTTTTTTTGAGATTTTATTTATTTTATGTGAATGAGTGTGTGCCTGCATGTATGTCTGTGCAACATGTGCATGCAGTACCTGAGTAGGCCAGAAGAGGGTGTTGGACCTCCTGGTATTGGAGTCATCAGTGTTGTAAGCCCCATGTGAGTGTAGCCAGCGCTCTTAACTGCTCAGACAACTCTGCAGCCCCTTGTTTCTTTAAGGCTGCACAACATACTTTTGCCCCCTTTTCTTCTTGGTCTTTTTCTCCTATTAGCTTATAAGATGTGTTATAAACACAATCTCATTTATTCCTCCCAAAAGCTTTATATTGAAGATGTTATTATCGTTGTTTTAAAGGTGAATAAAACCAAGGTTGGTACTTGAAGTGTCTTTGCCTAAGGTCATAGATTGACTGGCACTGACTTGACTTCAGGTGTTCACTCTCCCACGCTTTGACCTCAGGTCTATGGAGCAATATGCAGATACATGCCATACTGCTGTTGCTGACTCCCTAGCTGAGAGAAACATCACAGATATGCGGTTTCTTTCTCTCTCTTCTCTGCAGCTTGAACTCTGCCCCAAGTACTGTGTGAGCATTTGCAGGCTTCACATGACACACTGTTGGAGTTCTGCTGGTTAAGTTAAGAATGCATAAGGAGTAAAGAGTATTATAGAGTGGTATCAGTGCAGAGAAGGATTAAACAATCTTCATGGCAGGCTGGGCTTAGCATGATATTTGCTGGTGGATCTGCAGTTAGCATTTAGAAATAGTAAGTCAGGCTGGAAAGCAACGTAGCAGCAGCCCTGAGAGGAGATGGCCCAGGAGCCCCACATAGACTCAGTACGCATGCTCTCAGGGTTGCACCCACTAACACTTCTCTTGGGCCAGGGCTGTGCACTTGGCTCTGGGGTGAGCAATGGGGTTGAAGGAAACTGAGAGGTGGGCTATCTGTGGACAAATGGAGGGAGCAAGTAAATGTAACACTTGACTGTTGTGTTATAGAAGGCAGTTATCAGCATGGGACCTCCTGTGCTCTTAGGTTAGAATGGGGGTCTTAGCATGAACCCACAGGCTTTAGTGTAAAGTCGTGTGTGGATGCATGAATGTTCATACAGACACAGCTCTCTCAGCTGAGTGCTTGCAAGCAGTGGCACCAGCAGCACCTAGCTCAGTCACACCAGAGCTTGGTATCTGCAGTTCCTCCACACAGAGGAAATGGGGAGCCTGGTTGCAAGCATAACCCTAGGGCTAGACTCAGAATGCAAGATAAGCCTGGTGCATTTTATTGTGCCAGAAAAAAAAAGGAG